ACATGATATTCTGTCATGAAAACTTTATCCTCTCGGTCACCTACCTACCCTTTCACCTACCAAATATTTCTCTATTATCTGTCATCTGTCTACTTAGCACCATTGTGTCTACAGTCTATCAAGTACCTATGTACGTACCTTTTCTTGTTTTGATTTCATTAATATCTGCCCTGATTTTTGTTATTTCTTCTTGTCTGCTGAGTCTGGGTTTCATTTCTTGTTGCTTTTCAAGTGTCTTGAGTTGCAACGTTAAGTCGTTTATTTGTGTTCTTTCTGATTTTTTGATGTAGGCACTCAGAGCTATAAACTTCCCTCTAAGGATCATTTTCAGCGTGTCCCAGAGGTTTTGTTGTGTCGTGCTGTCCTTTACCCTTAATTCCAGGAATACTTTTATTTCTTTCTTAATTTCTCTTTTGACCCATTCACCATTCAGGAGTGTGTTGTTTAATCTCCTTGTGTTCATGTGGTGACTAGGGCTTCTTCAGGTTTTGATTTTAAGCTTTATTGCATTGTGGTCTAATAGAATGCATGGAATTATTTCAATCTTTTTGTATTTGTTGAGGTTTGTTTTGTGCCCCAATATACGGTCAACTTTGGAGAAAGTTCTATGGGATGCTGAATAGAAAGTGTGTCCTTTGGTGCTTGGGTGGAATATTCGGTAGATGTCTGTTAGGTCAATTTGATATATGGTATTGTTTAATTCAGATGTCTCTCTGTTAACTCTCTGCCCTGTTGACCTATCTAATGGAGACAGTGGGGTATTGAAGTCCCCTATTATTAATGAGTTGGGATTAATCTGGGTCTTAAAGTCCTGTAGTATTGTTTTTATGAAGTTGGATGTACCAGAATTTGGTGAATATGTGTTCATGATTATATCTTCTTTGTTTATTGTTCCTTTGATCAGAATAAAGTGGCCATCTTTATCTCTTCTGATTAGGTTTAGTTTAAAGTCTATCTTGTTAGATATTAGAATTGGAATGCCTGCATATTTTTTTCCCCATCCTTTCACCTTAATATAGTGCCTGTCCTTGAAAGTGAGATGAGTTTCTTGCAGACAACAAAAAGATGGGTTTTGTTTGTTTCTTTTTTTTTTTTTGGACTGTCACTGAAAATTTATTCGTTTATTGCTGCATAACAAAACAACTTCAAATAAAAACATTATGTGACATAATTGTGAGGGACAGAAATCCAGAGAGGCTTTCCTGGTGGTTCTGGGTCAGAGTCACTCTTGAGGTTTCCCTCAAGATGTTATCATACATTAAATCATCCAACAGTCTAAGAAAGAATGTGTGATGCAAGCCACATGACTTTCATAACCTGTTCTTGGAAACAATATAACATCATTCTGCTGTATTCTGTCAGTCATACAGACCAAAAACATGGAAGGTGACAACATTAATGTGGGAATGACTTTTACAAATGGACATAATCTGGACTAATGACTTTTAATTAACCCCAGCAAAACCTTCTGTGCTCGTGTGTCATGTCTTGTGATCTGGGCTCCTGATCTCATTTCCTAAGAACCTTAATTTGATACACTCTCCCCCCAAACAATAATGAATGTGGGTATACTTGAGAGTTAACATTAAAATTCACCCATCTCCATTGCACACAGTGGAGATTGAGAAGGACACCTGACCTTGGGTGAATATGATATTCTAGAACTAAGGATGAAAAGACTAGATGGGGCTGGAGAGTTGGCTCAGTGCTAAGAGTACTGACTGCTCTTGTAGAGGACCTAAGTTCGATTCCCAACACCCACATAGTGGCTAACAAGTCTCCATAACTCTAGTTCAGGGGATCTGACACCCTCTTCTGACCTCCTCGGGCATTGCATGACACAGGTACACTTATGTACATGCAGGCAATACACTCATATATTTAATTAATAAGCTGGGCATGGTGGCACACGCTTTTAATCCCAGCACTTGGGAGGCAGTTCAAGGCCAGCCTGGTCTCTATAGCCAATCCAGGCCAGCTGGGGCTGCAGGGAGACCCTGTCTCAAAACACATAAAATAATAATAATAATAATAAAATATTCTTTAAAAAGACTGGATGGTCTGTTAAGGTTATGGTAGAAACAAGCTTTTCTTCCCCAATTGAAGCTGGAGAAACCATTTTCAATAAAATTATGAGTGGGGCTGGGCTTGCGAACAGAGTTCTAGAGACATTTCCATCCGTACAATTCCAGGAAACAGATGGTTCCAGGAGAGACCCAGGGGAGCGAATGTCCTCCCAGTTCAGCCTGCTTTTTTTTTAATTTTTAAAAACAATTTTTAAAAATTTAATAAGCACATGATTAGAAGAAACATTTCATTACAGCTTTAACATATTCAGTAACACATTCCAGAGCAAGAATATATCTCTTTCAAAGGTGGCTGTAAATTTTTAGGTTCACAGTTGAATTAATACAGTCATACAATATTGACCTCAGTATAAACCCCTGGAGAGAGGCCTGTGGGTGGTGCAGGCCTAGGGAAGCAGAGTGGGTTTTGTTCCTTAATCCATTTACCTAGTCTGTGTCTTTTGACTAGGGAGTTCAGTCCATTAATATTTAAAGTTATTAATGAAAGATTGAACCCTGCCATTTTTATTTATGTTCACATTCTTGATATAGCTGTACTTTTCCACAGTTATACCTTCACTGAATTTCTTTCTGCAAACCCTTGGTATAGGTGTTCC